CTGCTGATGAGCATAGTATTAAAGAATGAGGGAGGAACAATGTTGATCTTAGGGCTTGCTGATGCCCTGTTAATTTGAGCAGAATCCTTATCTTGCTTTCATCCTAGTAGAAAAGTTAGCAAGTGCAAGCACCGTAGTATTGCTGTGACAAGCGGGAAAAATAGCCTTTAAAAAACCTTTCTAAGATGTCTCCCTGTGATGAGGCATTATTTCAGGCTGACTGCATTTCATTCTTGTATTAAGCAACAAATCCCAACATTTCTAAGTTTGCTTTGCTCTTTGAAGATATCACCCCTGATCAGGATTTTCAAAGGGATTGATCCTGAGATGACCTGATCAGTGAGTGAATGGCAAAGGCTTCCAGTCAGATGCTGCGGTACAGTGCGTATCTAAACACATTCTGATTTTACAACTTTACATTAATGTCTGTGTCCTACCAAAGGTGAGACCAAATCCAAGACAGCCTTACTGTTGAAGAAACCGAGAATTTGTCACATATGTGAAAGCACACTAGTACCTGTAGAAATGTATGGTAGGCTGCCATAGTATCTCCTAGACAATCTTTCCATGCCTTTTGGTTGGGGAGTAGATAAAATAATATAAAATTTTCCTTCCACCAATCTATGTGTTTAGGAGTATTGAGCTAGTTTTATTGGCATGAGCAATGCTGCTGCAACACTACAGTAGCAGAGCTTTGGTGTGAAAGAAATCCATGTCTTATTTTAGCAAACAAACTTATCATGATTTTTGGTGCTGCCTAGCTGCAGTGGTTCAGGCACTTGTTAAAATCACAGTCAGACACTGACCTGGTTGCTAGAACCTGTCGTGGTGTAAGCACAGCTTTCTGCTGTCAGTTCTCCTATTTCCTGCAGTTGGAGAAATATGAGACTTCCTCTTCTTTGTTCAACGCCTTTCCTGTCTTGCCTCCTAGTTCTCATTTGCTTGGCTGTGAGAATTATGGACTACGTTGGGCCTGGAACTAGTCGGTTTAATTTGGTGGCCCGGCCCTCAGCTTTACAGTAGAAACTGCCTGTACTGAGTAGGAACATTACCCGTTTGAAATACTGACATAGAAAAGAGGTTAATCTATTTCTTTTTATTGTAGTAGTTTAGGAATTGTTTCTATGCAAAACAAGAAAAAACACTTTTCCTTAAGTTCTGAGACTCAGAAACTGTCTTGATTTGACTGTATCTGTGTGGTTGAGCTTTTAGTATGCTTTAGGAAGGACATAGTTCTCCCTTTGTCTTGCAAGTTAGTTGAAATCTAGGACTAGGTAAAATCTGTGATGTAGTTACTGCTCAATTCACAATCAGTCCTGTAATTAGGCGGGAATGATTTGTGTTATATGGAGCTAAAATGAATCAGGAGTTGCTGACCTGATACCCAACCCGCTGTATAGTAATTATTTCTGTATAATTAGACAATGAAGCTCTTGTTGACTTCAAAACTGGTGGGCTTGATTGGATATATAACAAACAACTCTCATTTTACTGCATCTTCCAGTATATTTGTGTTAAGATTTTCTCTTCTTAGTCTTCCCCAAATACCGTGCTGTCACGAAGCACACACAGGTGTGGTAAAAGTTTGACATTACATGTCTGAGGACCTATTCAGATGGACAGACTGCTCAGTTTGTCCTAGTGCTGCTGGCAGGCTCCATGGGGTATGCTACAGCCTCCCTCCAGTAGGTAATTGTATGATGGGTCTGAGCCTGCGTTGTAGGTCCAGAACTTCCTGCTGGAGTCTCCATTTCCTTTGTGTGTGCATGAGCAATTTCCCTGTCACCTCCTGGAAGAAAGAAAAAAAGAGGTGCTGAAAAAGCAGAAGATTGCTGTTGCTAAAATAATTCATGCAACCTGGTCCCTGAGCTGTCGTTTATCCAGGCGCAGCTCTGAGTTGAGCGGGAGTGTGCTGTGGGCCATCTGACTTGTTCTGGCCACCATCCTTCCCAAGATGTGAACAAGGGTAGGTGGCACAGGCGCCTACCCTTGTTCTAGTTAAACATGGGAACAACAAAGGGATATTGTTAGATGAATTATCCTGGAGGCTGCTGGTTGAGAAACTTGCTTCATATAAAAGGACCTGAAGAACAGGCCTTGTTAATTTATGTAGTTATCTTGGGTGCTTTATATATGAGTTATTTACCTGTAGACACCTGAAATCTGCTTGCTGTGGAGCCATGTTTTGTGTACCTAAATTTACAGATGTTGATCTGGGTCAGTATACATGATCTTAATGCAGTCTGTATTTCTTTAATATTTTTAATGCTGTGAAGTAGAGCAGGAGCGTTGTCTTAAAAGTGATGATAAGACTGACATAAAGACAGGGACGCTGACAATTAAAAGAATATTGGCAGTGACAGTATCTGTAACAGAAATGTTGAATGGAATTTCACATATGTAAATTTCCAGAAATTAGTATCTGGTGGGGAATAACTTTTGGCTTGTTAAGCATTAGTTATTATTTAATCAACACAGGATTTTTCTAATAAGGAGATGTGTACTTAGCACGGTAAAATCGGTTTTGTGTTGCAAGTGCTTTTTGAGTTTTGAAGAAATGCTTTTTGTTATTGTATGTGGTGACAGTGTGGGAGAAAACCAAATACATAGTAGATTTTTGGGCCCTAGTCAGTCTAGTGAGGTTGGGGAGGCTGTGTCCAAGTTTTTCTTTTCCTCTCTTGGCTTAGTGCTGAAGCCTAAACATTTTGGCTTATACTAGCCATCTAACGCTATTGCACTGAGTTGCTCGTTGACCTAGCATGATGCAATGCAGTCATACACTTGTTTGAAATCCCTGTGCACTGTGCAGTAATAAATAATTTCAGTGCTGAAGTGTAATATTTTATTATCCTTAATTTAGTATGAGTAGTTGGAAGTCAAATGCTGTCTTTGGGTGTGTTAATAAATGGGATCCCAATCTCCAGAGGGTGGCTTTAAACCTTTAACCGTCAGGAATATTTCACATCCAGGATGGAAGCAGCATGTAGTTGTCTGAAAAGACATCAAAATCACCTCTTTATTGTAAGAGTGTGCGAATTACAGTGAAGTTCTTTATTGGATTATGTTTGTCTTAAATTTTAAAATTGAATGCACTGTTTTGTTGGCTGGATGTGCTGTGCTCTTCTGGTGGATTCATTAGCAAGGAATAAGCCGGAGTCAGTTACACCAAAATGACCAATGACTAAGGTCATCTAGTCCAACCCCCCTGTCACATGCAAGGACATCTACTAGACCAGGTTGCTCAAAGCCTCATCCAGCCTGGCCTTGAACACTTCCAGGGATGGGGCATCCACAGCTTCTCTGGGCAACCTGTTCCAGTGCCTCACTACTCTCATCATAAAGAATTTCTTCCCGATGTCCGTTGTAGCAGTTCACTGACACGTCTGTAGAAGGCAGGTTGACAATATGAATTGACTGTTTCCAAGCACACCAACACTTGCTGCAATACTTAGTGAGAGGATCAAGCCCTGGTGTCCCACTGCTCGCTAGTGGCCGTGCCGCAGAGCTGTGTTAGATGTTAAGAGGCAACCTGCTCACTGTGGCAGCACTGGGACCAGCCACTTACCTGTAGCATTGGCCCTGACAAGCCACCTATTTCAGATTTTAGAAACTGCCTTCATGTTAGGAGGATGCTTCTGTGTGAAGAGCATTCAATATCTAATTCTGTGAACTCGTCAGTGGAAACAACCTCCAGGAAAGAAATGTGCTTGGTTGACAATAAAGTAAACATTCTTGTTTCTGTAGTACCTCTTTCCTGTTTACAGGAGCACTGATGTTTTTCTCTTTCAATGTTTCAGGAAGCATTCTCTTCAAGTGCGTGTCTTTGGAGGCTGACAGAATTACAGAGCAGCAGGAGAAAGTACTGTCAATCCTAGAGGAAAAGTTTCCAGATCTTCCCCCACGAGAGGAAATTATCTCTGTTCTTCAGGAGACTCAGTTTAATCCACAAGGTAGTGCAGTTCACTTCTATTTTTTAGACATTTTACTAATCTAGTTATGTAATGGTATCAGAATATATTGGCTCACTCTGTGTGGTGAAAAACATTGCAGCCCACTGTCTTCACTGACAGTTTCATGTATTGCATTTTATTTTAAATTAAGTGGCTTACATTCTGAATCATGGAACTGTGGTTTCTCTTGAACTACTCAACTCCTAATCTTGTATTGCTTTTACAGATAAAATTAACATTAATTTATTTAATGTATTGCTTTTTGAAGTGTATGCTAGTCGAGAATTTGTGTTGATGAGGTATAGGGGAATAATTAATGTCTCAGCCTGTGTGCAGAAATTGTGCTGCAATTGCCCACATAGTGTTGAAGTAGATTTTGTCTTCTGAACCTTCCCAGATTTACCAATGGCTGTATGCAGGTGATGTGAATTTGACTTCAGACTAAAGTTAAAGAAGCAGTGCGAAAATGGCAGTTCTTGCATTTCCTTCTGTTAGAAATAGCTGAACATAGTTCTCATTTTCCGGTGATCAATAGTGGGAATATTTGACCTACAAATTTGGTAGCAGGCTTTTGAAGGGATGGTGTGAAAGCCTGAAGGAAATTGTTGCAATAAATCCCACATTTTTTACTGTCTTTGTTAAACGGCATTTGCTACCAAGTTATTACCAGAGAGCAAGTACTGGGTTTCTAAGATACTTCTTTGTTAGCTATATCAGGTATGCACACAGTCCGTGCAGAGTCAGTCTTATTTTACCATCTCTATTCACCCATCTGCAGAATCCTCTCACCTGAATTCAGACCATCAGCCTCAGATGGCTGCCCTAGCTGGTAGTGAAGGACAGAATTTGAGGTGCTGCTTTCTTTGCTTTTTTCTTTCAGTGAGGTCACAAGCTAAATTAGTTCAGGGCTGTAAATCTTCACATAGGTCATTCCTTCAGACGTTAGTCAAGTAATCATAGTTCAGAAATGCACTGAATGCAGCCTGGATTGGAGAGACCCAGTGAAAGTGGCTTTTATGGAGTTCAGTTCTTAGTTCTGCCAGTTGCCTGGGAAGATGGTTTAGTAATGTTTGTCATTTACTCGGCCCATGAAGTTTACCTTAATATCCAACACATAACTTGGACAAGCAGATACAATGGATTCAGCCTGAATGACGTTAGTTGCCAGTAATTTTTATATGCCACGAGGAGCGCAATGTCATACACTCTTCTTTTTTTCTCTCATAGCTGCTGTTTGCAGCGTATTACGTAGTACATATTTAGCACTGCATATATTCATGTAACATTTTTATTAGCAAGGTGCTGTTGAGAGTCTGAAGTCCTTTGAAGGCACTAACCCCTGCTGAATATTTTACCTTATTTACCTGTTATTTCAGGCAGTATTAGGACAATTCGGCAAAAAAGTTCTCGGTTTCATGCAGAAATAATGATTTATTGGCCTGAATTCATGAATTCATTTGTTATTTGAGCCATAGTGTGAGGCACAATGTGCCGTAGTCCACTAGAAAGTCTAAAGGTTATCTATATAAATGTTTTTGAAAGGACAGATGCATAAATATAATAAATATGTGAACATTAGCCAGCTCATCTTGTCATTAAGTTGAATGCAGTAGCTGGACTCCATGCAGGAATAGTAATGAGAGGTTTAATTTCTTTGGCTTTGATTGGTATTTGGCTTCCTCTTAAAAATTAGTCATGCAAGCACGTTTTGGATGTTATGCTACTGAGCTTTAAAAGTCTGTGGACATTTTAGTTGCCACCCTACGCTGAAGTAAGTGGCTTTCAGCTTTCTTTTTCCAGACAATTGGCTATCATGTCTGTACTTTTAGTTGTGTGATATGACTATGTTCCTGTGCATGATAGTGTTTATTTTGAGAATCTTTACACCATTTAGACAGGCATCCCATTACTTAGTCACATGGTTTTTCAATACAATGTACTTAAACATATCGACATGTCGTGTTGCAATGTGAAGGAATTCCAATTTTACGCTGTTGTTTGTAATGATAATGTATACTTCTGTTTCTGTGGTACATTAGCATGTGTTTGGTTCAGTCAGCACTGGATGTACTTAAGCCCACTGGTGTTGGTATCAATCTGTGAGGAAGGTCAGAAAGGTTGCATGACTTGTTTACAGGATATCTTAAGTGCTTTGCCTCTGAGTATTTTATAAATACCATAGTATTCCACATGTGCTTTTCAATATATTACTCATTCTATAAGTGTTGCATACTAGTGATTCCATATGAGACCGTAGGAACAGTCTAACTATATTTATCATCAACTGGAATTTCAGTTCACTTAAACAATGTGAGTGTTCTCACAACTTCATTTCAGGAGACTTCATTCTTCATCTTTGCTCTCTGCCCTCTCACCCCCTCTTAAATGTTTTCGTTGGTTAAAAAATCCTTCTAGAAACATTAAGCATATAAATATTCATGTTGGTTTTAGTTTTCTCATAGGATGTCCTAAAATACAGAAGGCTCAACATTAAGTCCTAAGCTGTTTTTAATCTCTGTGGCTGCATCTAGGTAGCTGTAGATACTTGTATATATTGAAATTCCTTTCTGTTCTCAAACAGGTGTACGTATTGAGGAGGTTATGCTGAAGGACCTCAAGGAGATTTCAGATGGAGAAATCAAAGTAGCAATTAGCCCTGTGTACATGACACTGGAGGTAAGAGGAACCATAAACCACGGAGTTGGTAAACAGCAGTATTGCAAATGGAGATGCGTCTTTAACAGATTGTGAGCCAGTTATTTTCTCAAGATTGTACATGAGCAGAGGTTTTCAGTGATTTAATTACCTCTGAGAGAAACAGTAGCTTTTGTAGTCTGACTTAACATCATTATGCATCTGATCATTCCTTCCTGTTAGTCTGTACCATGGTGTGTTAAAACAATGGCATCAGCGATTTGCAGCCTGAATTGATGGTGCGAGCTTTCTGTTGTACTTGAGTAGGTAGTTACTAAGGGGACTTTGTCCTACCTTTCACTTACAGAATGACATACAATTTATAAAGTCACTTCAAGACTCTGTCAGCTTTTTGAGAGGAGGGGACGTTCCTTTATGCCTTCCATTGCCACATTGCCTGAATTAAAATGTTGGTAGAGTTAGAGGACCTTGATGGGACAGAAGTTCTAGAATTTTCATATCTTGGATCAAAACTATGGGTTTGTCTTTATGAGTATCCCTGAGACAGCCTGAAAATGCCTGCTTGATCTTCACCAGTCCCAAACATTTTGTAATTGTTTAGGGAATATTCTTGGGTTGTATGTTTTGTATCATTCATTCAAGATGATTTGTGTTATTGATGTCAGTAGCTATTTACCTTGACCTAGTAGATACAAATCTTACCGGCTATTATGTAAAAATATTAATTAAAAAATACATGGCAGTATTACTTCTGTTGGAAGTACTGATATACTGTTTAATAATAAAACTACCTAGATTGAAGAAAATATCAAGAGACACTTCTACATAATCCATATTTGCAATTATGGATCTCACCTGAAGGTCACCCATACAAAAGTATTTGACAAGGAAAAGAAGTTGTCATCTTCTAGTCTTGCATTTGGCTTTAATAAAATATTTATTTTACCTCAAACGGTACTAAAAAAAAAAAAAATATCACTTGAATAGTTCTTCTTTGTGTATAGCATATGAAATTTCTTACATGCCTTTTGTGATGCATTTTACAAACAATAAGGGGCTTCTATGGTTGGAGAAGTTTGTGATGCAATCCATATAATAATTATCTATAGGTTTCTGCTTGCGTACCAAAATATACAAAGCAAATTGGGTAGCAAAGCTTCAAAAAATGAAGCAGAATCTGTTAGTTTCTTGGTTAGTTTCTCAGTGTCAAGCAGTCTTTACCAGCCACCAAACCTGCACTGCTTTATGAACCATAATTTTGCTTCTGAAATTTAGGCTAAGGTTGGGAGGAAAGGGGGCAGAGAATGAGTATTGTAAGATAAATCCCTGAAAGAAGAAATGGGATTTTAAAAAATTCTTAATAAAATCTTCCTATTCTTTTATTTAAATCGTTCTCTTTTATTCTGTCAGTTTCAGTGAATGGTGGATACACAGGGCTAGTAATTAGGAGCTAGCTTTAGCATTACATTTAACTTATTTTCCTTTTAATCTTGTTTAATAGACTGTGTAGAATGCAAGCCTTGCGCTCCACAGATCTAAGATCCAGCTAAATGTGGCTGAACTCGTCTTTACCACTCTACATACTCAAATTAATCATAGCCTAAAACTTGTCGTCTTTTTGGCTGCAACCCACAAATTGAGTTTGGCAGTAGTAGGTTTTCACAGTCCTAAAAGCAGGCAAATTTTAAAACTTCTTTCAGTGATTGTGTAACATTTGATGCTGACTGTCATGATTTAGTCTTATCTGGCAATTAAGCACCACTCTGCTGCTCACTCACCTCTGGATTGGACAGAAAAAAACTCAAGGAAAGCTTGTAAAAGTTGAGATAAGAACTATTTAAGAATAAAAATGAACCTTATAGTGATACTAACAATGCTACTACTCAAAAGTAATTAAAACAACGAAAATAGAACATGTGATACAGTATCTCACCACCTGCCAATCGACACGCAGCTGAATGCCAAAAGCGGCAAACAATTCTGAGTGGAGAGAAATCCCCGAGCGTGAAAATGGGGAGAAAAAGCCCCTGAGGCCGAGAGCCCCAGAGCAGGGAGAAAAAAACTCGCCAACCCCCCAACCCACTAGAAAAAGAACCTGCTTCTCTGCTAAAAGAAGACCTAATGACACAGCTGTCAGCTAGCCTAAAAGCCTTAACGATCTTCCCACCGCCAGGGCCACTTTTTGTTCCTTTCCAAACTGCGCATGCATCCAGCCTGACCACTGAGCCTGACATACCATGGAATGAGACAAAATCCCTGTGGGCCATCTTATCCCTGCCTGAAACCAGCACATTCTCCATCCCCTGTTTCATACCATTTACGTTGTGCTCAAGTCCCACACTGTTCCATAAATTCTCATTAACCTGCTATGCCTTTCCCATCCCATCCCACACAGATATTCCTTTAGTCTATAGACCATTGTAGCGAAATGTCCATTAGTCCATGTCTTCTGGTTCCATCAGGTGTGGAGGTCACTCAGGACAGGAAAAGGTGGAAGAGTTGCATGGGATCAATCCACCTGCTGATTGTATCAATGTTTTTCAGTGTCTTGGCTTTTGGGCATATGGGCATCTGTGTGACACACTTTGA